AAAAAAAAAAAAATGCTAATAATTTTTTTCAGTCCTTACTGAAGATGACTCTCAAATTTATTAACATATATATTCAGATAGTACATTTTTGCAATCAGTTTTAAGATATATACAAATATCTTGGAAACAACTGTATACCTTTTAACGCTGGTTTACAAGTTAATACTATTACCAACAGAAACTATAGCAACAACAAAAAAAGTTATTTCAGTTAATTCTATCAGTAAAATAATTTAGTTGTCTTAAATTAGAAATGTGTTGCATGGATTAAAACATACCCAGGTTTTATTTTACTACCTAATTATTCAGATACTCTTTAATAATTCACAGGTGTGCTAACAATATGCTGGTAACTAGGATTTTGCTTAATGAATGTTATTTCTCCAGTATATAATAAAACAACTATCCTAAAACCTTCTATCGCCGGACACAATGGCACGAGCCTGTAGTCTCACCTACTCGGGAGGCTGAGACAGGAGGATCGCTTGAGTCCAGGAGTTCTGGGCTGTAGTGCACTATGCCAATTGGGTGTCCACACTAAGTTTGGCATCAATATGGTGACCTCCCAAGGAGTGGGGAACCACCAGGTTGCCTAAGGAGATGTGAACCAGCCCAGGTTGGAAATGGAGCAGGTCAAAACTCTTGTGCTGATCAGTAGTGGGATCACACCTGTGAAGAGCCACTGCACTCCAGCCTGAGCAACATAGGGAAACCTCATCTCTAATTAAAAAATAAAAAATTAAATAAAACCTTCCTATCATAAAGTATATAAAAACAGAGAAATAAATATATTTAAAAGACTATTTTAATGCATGGTTCAAACAAAGCATAAGAAAACAAAGAAATTTCTATGGGCTGAAAAGGTAAGCACTGAAGTCAGAACTTGTTCTATGGGTTTCTACTAATCTCAGGAACCTACTTTGCTTTTGATTGCCTGAACACAGGGAATAGAAGACAAAAGTTTGAGATCACATATGGGTTAGAGACCTGCATTACTTCAGGAGCCACAAAAGGCACAACCCTGATACTTGATTAAAAAGCTAGGAAGTTTCTTTTTTCTTTAGTATTTTTAAAGACAAGCCCTTGCTATGTTGCCAGGCTAGACTTGAACTCCTGGCTGCAAAAGATCCTCCCACCTCAGCCTTCCTAGTAGATGGGCCTACAGGCACATGCCTGCCCAACTGGAAGAAAGCATTTCTAAAAATCAACCATGCAAAGGCAGCAAAGAAATTTGGCAATAAACTTTTCTGTCTTGTCTTTGTTTTTTGTTCATGGGGGGAAGGTCTTTACTGAAATTTATAA